AATAGACGTACTTGTGATAGCTGCATCTGGAGTGTGGTCTTTCTAATGTATTGCTACCTGACCACCACTGCACATAGAGTTCTTGGTTTGGATGACTAGAATTGAAACTTGAACTAGTACATACATAATATGATATTGTGTATGCTGAAGTAGGTTAAAGTACATTACAGCAATCATACGAGTAGTCCAGTTTCAGCCAAACTCCAGTTTGCAGCTTTTGATATATAGGAAATTATCCCTGCTTTCTAGGAGTTTCCATTCTAGCAGGGGAGAGGCATCATTTGAGTAAGGATAAAAGGGTAGAGGAACAGAAAGATGATTGTGCTCTGAGAAAACACCACAGAGTGTGCAGCCATAGGGAAGAAGCAGTGGTGCCTTCCTCCGTACAGACCATAGAACTGGCACGGAGACAGGATGTAGTGGTGATGGAACCCTTTAAATGCTAAGCGACTGCTGGAGTCCCACTCTGCTAATGGCGGTGCATCTCAGTTACTTTCAACTCCCCTTGCTGATTTTATCCCTTGGAAACTCATGAAATATTAATAATAAAGGAAATGACCACTTTCTACATAAACTCTAAGCTGTGAGGAGGAATATAGTTTCTGAGGTGAAAGTGATGGGATGCCTAGAAGAGAGCACATGTTCAGCTTAGTTTATCTTAACAAACACTTACCGAATGCCAGGCATTGTACTGGGCATTGGGGATCCAAAACAATGACCAGGGAAACCATGAAGACCTTCAAACCCAAATTGAATGGGTCAGGAAAAGCTTCCTAAATGTAAAGAGAGTCTTAAGAAGGGATGGTGTATGCCAAGTGAGGAAGAAGTGTTGTGGTGATGGGGCTAGTGGGGGGCAGTATTATAGGCAGCAGGGACAGCAAGAATAATGGAATGGAAACATGGCATGGCCTTAGTGCAGAGAAGAGCTGCAAGACATTTGAAACTATTGGATTTTGAAGTGTGAGGCAGGGAGAACAAGGAAAGGAGGCTAGAAGGAAAGAAGAAATCAGTCATAACGGGCCTTGTTTATCATGGTAAGAAATATGGAATTGGCCCAGAAGGAATCACTAAAAAGTGTTAAGTATAAGAGTGATGTGGTTAGAGTGCATTTTGGATAATCCTCACTGGTGGAAATAAAAAAAATAAAAAAATAAATGGTTCCAGGGACAAGTGGACCAAGCCTGGAGGCAGGAAGACCAGGTAGGAAGCTATCCTAAACATTAGGTAAGAAGTGGTGAAGGTTAAAGGAAGGATTTTAATATGATAGGAGAACACCTGAGCACATTTATAGGCTGAAGGAAAAACCCAGTAGTGAGGGAAATCCAAGAGACAGGATAATTGGTTGGAGCACATTCAGAGGAGCTAGAGCTGAAATAGAAGAATTAAATTTGGTTTAACTCATCCTCTGAAATCAGCAGGACAGAGATAAAAGAGAACAGATGGGACCTTGGGTCAGGAAGTAATGGCATGTTAGAGTTCATGGGAGTAGAAGAGATATAGTAGGTTTTAGGAAAGCAGATTTAAATAAGTTTAGAGTAAAGAAAGTTATCCCATGGATTTGATTCTTACAAGTTGTGAGGCATGCAAAAATAAGCCAGACATTACAACTATGAACAACTATAGTGAGAAGAAAAGAGAGCATTTATCAACAAAGACTTCTCTGGAATCTCTCTTTTGAAACCAGAATTTTGGAGCACTTGTGTATTTCACTTTTGTTGAAAAGACTTTTTTTTTTTTTTTTTTGAGAGTCTCCCTTTGTTGCTCAGGCTAGAGTGAATGCCGTGGCATCAGCCTAGCTCACAGCAACCTCAAATTCCTGGGCTCAAGTAATCCTTCTGCCTCAGCCTCCCGAGTAGCTGGGACTACAGGCATGTGCCACCATGCCCGGCTAATTTTTATATATATATATTAGTTGGCCAAATTAATTTCTTTGTATTTATAGTAGAGATGGGGTCTCGCTCTTGCTCAGGCTTGCTCAGGAGTTCGATTGCTCGAACTCCTGACCTCGAGCAATCCGCCCGCCTCGGCCTCCCAGAGTGCTAGGATTACAGGCATGAGCCACCGCACCCGGCCTGTTGAAAAGACTTTATAAACAAATTCACATAAGTCAATTGGCTGCCTGAGCATTACCCAAATTGAGCTGAGGCTTGGGGGAAATAAGGCCAAACGAAAAAACCTCTTTAAAAGTTATCTTCATAGAAAAAAATTTAAAAGATGCAGTGCCACCGATTGGGAAAGAAGGTATAGTATTGACTAGTGGAAATGACACAGAACAAATATAGAATTCTTCTTATTTCCAAATTTTTGCCCAAAGAGCATGACCATTAGTTGGGAAAGAGTACAACAGCTATTTAATAGGAACACTGACAACCATATCCATGACCATATCCAGAGGAACGATATAGCATAAGAGGAATGGCTGAAAGAACTGCCCAGGTTTATCCCTGAGTGGGTTACAGGGCACAAAAGCTATCTTTTCATATCAGAAATGCTGTCCTTTATAAGAAGAGTTAGATATTTCTGTTTTAGGTTGTACAAGGGGGAGGAAAGAAGAGGAACAAGGGGAGAAAGGAAGAAAACAGGGTCAATTCAGAAAAGTTACAGGAATTTTTACCTGCTAGGGTTCTTCATATATAAGTCCCCTCCAACATTTTATGGGAAAAATTTTCAAACATGCAGAAAAGTTAAAAGAATTTTATAGTGAATGTACATTTACAGTAAATTCACCACATAGATTCTAACATTACATTTTGCTGTACTTGGTTAATCATATATTTATCCATCTATCCTTCCCTCAATCCATCTTATTTTTTGGATACATTTCAATGTTAATTGTATATACTTTTGTCTGCCACTGGGAAGATGATGGATCTTAATCCCAGGAGCTTTCTTACGGAGGTTAATGGCTGTTTGCTGAGGATACTGTAGAAGAGATTTCTGCATTGGGTAGGTAAAGTGCTGGGGCATTTGAACTTTTCTGACTGCTACCTTACTAAGAAATATATTTCTCATTCCTACCTACTGAAGTAAAAATTTCAGTAAACAGTGTTTATCCTTGTAAACTAAAAATAAATTCTAAGCCCCCAACTGACTGAACACACTCCCTCTAGGCCAAGGGAACCCCAGAGAAAGCTGAAAAATCAAGTTCTTGGCCATGATGAGATATGGGATGGAAGGTCAGACATTCATCATTATGCCCCCTCCCTTTTGTGGTCTAGACACAGTAAGTGACCAGCCTTAATGTTAAAATAGAGATCCTAGGACTAACAGAACAGACTCTTCGTGGCAATAAGATACCAAATTATAAATAGGACCTAATACCATGCCAGGCAAGGGTTAAGTCATAAACCCCTACGCTTAAAGAATAAACTATGTCTTAACTGCCACAGGGTTTTTCTTTTTCTCTAGCAGCTAAGCAAGCACTGGCCTTGGCCTCAAGGTAAGCAACAGTAAAATGATTTTCAGCTCACAGCCAGACCCCCTTCTCCCCTTATACAAGCCATAATGACAACTTTGATTGGAGAAAGAGACTGACTTCAATAACTTGCTCCTGCTAAGAAGACCACTGTCCAGGGACTGGCTCTGCCCAGTTTTACAGAGGCTTCACACTTGAATGCCTTTGTGTACTGAAAAGAAGTTTTGATGTATAGCTCCTAATTGTAATACATTTAAATGTTAAGTCTTCACCCCAAATTGAACATAGGTTGTATGTTATATGCATGTTGTTCAATATGCATGCTGTAGGACCACCTTCATGAATATTCATATCTCCTCCTGTAATTTGTTGAATATGTATATATGGCCAACCTATTTAGTATAAATCCCTGCTCCAACCCCTCCTCCCTCTAAGTGCCTGTCTCTGGTCTTTGCCAGAAGCTCCCCTTTCCAGCCTGACAGAATGGCCACCTTGCAGGCTATAACCGTTTAGAAGAAAAAGCTCTTCCAAATTTATAGATTGTGTGATTTTTAAGTTGACACTCTTTATATGTGTGAAATATGCTGATATTTTTCTATTTTATTTAATTTAAAAAGATTCTAGTCATGATCCACTAACTAGATTTGATGATCCACCAATAGATTGCAATTCACCAGTTGAAAATCATTGTACTAGTCAATTTCAAAGAAGACTTTTCTTTTAAAAAGAATCCTGTGCCTATCGTTCCTTATCTTCTCAATTATTGGAAACCTGTTTTGAGTGTCAGCACAGTATTTATTTAGGATGTATGGCTTTAGGGCATGTATAATTACGAGAAAAACCTTAAATGCTTGGTAAGATTTCTGGGTAGATCCAATTACGTCCTTTGGGAGTAAGTTTACTAATTACTTATTTTCACTAACAGTAAGATAAAGATATGCACTCTTGGATGGGCGGGAGGGTTCAGTATTCATATACTGTTCTGTTTTGTGTTGTTTTTGAAAAGGGAATTAATCAACATTTATTAAGCATATGCCATGTCTAAGCACTAGGCTAAGTCATTTACATGTCACTACTTTTGATCTGCAATTGTCAACTTATAGTATAGATGCTTTTATTACCATTTTATGGCTAAGAAAAGTTAAGAATTGGCTCCAGTTTTTCACTCAGAAAGTGGTTCATATAGTGTTCTGTTAAATTCGGCTATTAATGCCTGCCATGGTTCTAACAAAGTTGAGAAGAGGATCAAATGAGAAAATTGATGTAAAAGCATTTTGAAAACTAATGTTTTATTAATACAGTTATGTGATACCAAGAAGAGACGGATGCTGTGATCAAGCTCTAGAGAGGCAGTGTTTCAGTATTTTTTAAATTCTCTGTTCTTATACATATCTCTGTTCTTACATTAACCTCTCAAAGCACCAATGACTATGCTTTGAAGTGAGACTCTTTGGCGATCTCCTAAGGGTTTGGTCCCACATTCAATCGCTCCGCTCCTTCCGCGCATGCCCAAGAGCAGCTCGGCCCTCCTCGCAGGGTTAGGCCGAATACTGAGGGCGGAGTTCTGGCCACGTGGGGTCTCGTGACGTCATCTCCGGGCGCCGAGGGTGACTGGACTTGTGGTGGGCTTCCAGGGCTCCGCGGCGCTGCAGGTTGCTTTCGCTGCATACCGGAGGGCGGAAGTGCAGCAGGACTCGGCTCCGACCTCCGCGCCGGTGCTTTCTGCGGCTGCGCGGGCTCTCTGGAGTCCTGCTCCCGCGCCTCCGCAGGACTGTGTCAGGCAGGCAGTCTGCCCCGCCACCCCACAGCTGCGCCGGAGCCCGGGATTCTAGCGTCTCCACCGGCGCGGGAAGCCGGAGGGGGAGCCGGCGCTTCGGGTAGGGTACGTGTGTGTATGTCCCAGTGTGAGGAAATGCTTGGAGGAGGAGGGTTGGGGAGGGGCCAGGTAGGTGTGGTAAGAAGGAGGGGTGAGTGGCTGGCTGGAGGAGCGCTCGACGGGTTGCGATAGCGAGTGGAGGCTGTTCCTGCGGTCAGAGGTGGTGTTGGCGAGACGCTGCCCCTATAACCCTTGGGCCGGCTGGAGGGAGTGGCCTGTGCGGTCTGTCTCGGGGAGTATGTCCGTTCCTTAATAAGGTAGGAAACCTCGAAATCGAATTGCAGACTCTAGAGTTCAGTTCAGGACCTGCGTTTTTCGAGGAACAGTTATTTAAGCTATAATTATTATATTATTCAGGGCAGTTCGATTTTATCCGAACTCGGTGGCTATTTCCTCCAGACAACTTATCTTTTTAGGGCATTCCTTAAGTGTCATTTTAATAATATTTAATGCTAACAATGCCATTTTCGGTTGGCAAAACACTTTTACATACTTTAGCTATACTTCGGATTATTTTCAAGTCATACCTGAACTCGAGGAAGCTAGGAACCTGGGTTGGTTCTAGATTTTTCTGAGGTGTGAGGAAGCAAACAGCCACTAAACATCCAAAGCCTTCCAGAATTCACTTGTTAAATCTCTGAGTCCTTGAGACTGTGGGTACTTGGCTCTGAACTGAACTCTTTGTGAATTCCATAGAGGGAGTTATTGGTTGAATTTTGGATTTGAAAATAAGAATGTTGGGCTGAGGGTAGTTGTTGAGAAGAATTTTACACTAGATTTAAACATGTGCTTTGATTTTTCAAAGATATGCTATTAAAATTGGGGGGAAATGAACAGAATGGGATTGTAGACATGAGTTTTTAGAATAGTGAACACATTTCAAGTGTGGGTTCATTTCATTAGTTTTACAAATACTAAGTACCTGCTATGTGCTAGGCACAGGGCAAACAGTAATCAAAAGAATGAACAGTGAACAAAACAATAAAAATCTGTACCACCATGAAGTTCATTTTGGGCATGGGAGAGAAGACTTTTTTTCTTTTTTTTGAGACAGTGTCTCACTCTGTTGCCTGGGCTAGAGTGCTTTGGCGTCAGCCTAGCTCACAGCAACCTCAAACTCCTGGGCTCAAGCTATCCTCCTGCCTCAGCCTCCCAGCTAGCTGGGACTACAGGCACATGCCACTGTGCCTAGCTAATTTTTTTCTATTTTTAGTTGTTTGGCTAATTTCTTTCTATTTATAGTAGAGCCGGAGTCTCATTCTTGCTCAGGCTGGTCTGGAACTTCTGAGGCAATCTTCCTCAGCCTCCCAGAGTGCTAGAATTACAGGCTTGAGCCACAACACCTGGCCAGGGAGAGAAGACATTGATACAAAATTTAAAGTCATCCCTGTCTCTTGGCATAGTGGGGGATTGGTTCCAGGACCTCCCTGGGATACTGCAATCCTCACATGCCTAACTCTCTGATATAAAATGGTGTAGTATTTGTATATAACCCACACACATCTTCCTGTGTCCTTTAGCTCATCACTAGATTACTTCAACTACCTAATACAGTGTAAATGCTATGTAAATAATTGTGTTACTGTATTTAAGGAATAATGACAAGGAAAAAAGTCTGTACATGTTCATTATACTTTTTTTCCTCCACATATTTTCCACTGTTAATGGAAACTATTGAGAAAGAAGTATCACATTAAGAGAGACTTTATTTCCCAGAGCAGTTTGCAAACCAGGGAGATGTGCTCCCAGGAGAATACAGAGAGGGGTCATTCTTTATAGAAAAAGTTCCTGTCCAGGTTCCTACTCTGGTCTGCTATGTAAATAAAGAATGCAAACTTGTTTAGTTTCTGGTTGATATTAAGATTGACTGTAGGTAGCTGCATACCAGGTATCAAAAAAATTAAATAGAATTTTATTTTTTTCTTTAAAAGAAAAAGCAAACAAAAAAGAAATTTTAAAAAAAGAGATTGACTGTAGGTCACAGTCTATTAGTTAAGTCTAGGTGGCAAATGGGACTTTCTGGCAGCCCTAGGCCAGGGGAACAGACAAGTTATGAGAGTCCCAACGTTACCTTTCTTCCAGGAATGAAGAGTACATATGTGACCTCTAGTCAGCATATGGCCACTTGGCTCCATTTTGAATTTAGGCCCGTTAGTCACTCAGGATCCATCTTGATGGACTGACTTTTTCAAGGTTCACACCATCCATGGTTAGTTGAATTCAAAGATGTAGAAACCATGGATATGGAGGACTGACTGTATATGTCAGGTGGTGAAAGATGCCAGAAAGAAGAAAATAAAGCAGTGAAGGAGAATAAGGAATGCTGCTAGTGGGGCAGCAGATGGCCATAGAAAAGTCTGTATTTGAGCAGAGACCTAAAGGTGATAAAGAAGGGTGCCATGTGGAAAGACCATCAGATCTACCACAGAGGCCCAGAGGCAGGAGCATACCAGCTAGTTTGGCTGAAAGAGAATGAGCAAGGGAGAGAGAAGTTAGTAGATACTCAGGTGGGAAAATGGGACCAGGTGATTTAGGGCTTTGTAGGACTTTGTGGCAACTTTAGGTTTTATAATTTGAATGAGATGGGATTTGCTTTGAATGAGATGTAGAGTAAATTTATCTAACTTCTGTTTTAAAATCTGATTGCTATGTTGCCTGTGCAGCAGGGGCAGAAATAATGAGGCCTTTAGTAGGCCATTGCATTTATCTAGGTTAAAGTTCAAGGTGACTTGGATTAGGGTGCTAATAGTGGAGGTGGAGTGAAATGACCAAATTCTAGACTTGTTTTCAAGCTAGATTATTTAGGTGGAAGAAGAGTCAAGGGTTACTCCAAGTGTTATTGTCTGAGCAACGAAAGAATAGACTGTCATTTAGTGAAATAGGAAAAACCACAGAGTAATAGGAGAGAGGAGGAAGTAAGATTTGAAATCATTTTCAGCTTTGCACATGTTAAATTTCCAAATGGAAATGTCTGTATGCAGTGGTAATATGAAAGGAGTTCAGAGAAGTCTAGACTGAAGATATACATGTAGGAGTTGTAAATGTGTAAATCCTATTTAAAGCCTTGAGAAAGATCTCCAAGGGAGTGGTTCAAGGACTGAGCCTGGGGCATTTCAGCATTTAGAGATGGAGACCTCTCACAAAATCCTTACAAAATGCCCCAGGGTAGGACTGTTCAGTAAAACCTCTGCTGAGAATAACTGATCCACAGTAACAGAGTAGAAGGAAATAGAAAGCAAGATCTTTAATTGAGAGAGGATGAGGAAGGAAATGTGAAAATCTGAGGGAGGAGAAAGTACGGAATAGTGATGTTGGAAAGTGGGAGAATAAACAGACTAGGGAAATGTAGGGATGCTAGGCAGTTCCCATGGCCCAGTTTTGAGGTTTGTGTTTATGAATCTAAAGGGAGATCAGCCAGCATAGATTATTATCTTTAGAGATGGGTTTACTCTAGTAAGTATTTGATATTTTTAGGTAGTTGAGGATTTTGTCAACAAAAATAGCTTCAGTTAGTAGGTTAGTCTTTCTTGGTTTGCAGTGGGAAACATACCATGCCATTTATTGAATGACTGGTTAACGGATATTGTTGGACAGAACCTAGTCTGTCCTAGGTCCTGAATTACATGCAGAAAATAGAGCAGTGCAGGATATCCCCTGTACTCAAGAAGCTTACTTTTAGTAGATTGCATCATGTATTGGGATCTATGTGTCTAAACCCTTGCCTTCAAATTGGATGGATAGTGATGATGGTGTAGTGTATGTAGGAGAGAGACGTTCTTTCTTTTTATTTTATATTTTATTTTATGTTATTTATTTATTTTGAGACAGAGTTTCACTCTGTTGCCTGAGCTACGGTGCCATTGTGTCAGCCTAGCTCACAGCAACCTCAAACTTCTGGGCTCAAGCAATCCTACTGCCTCAGCCTCCCAAGTAGCTGGGACTACAGGCATACGCCATCATGCCCAGCTACATTTTGCTATATATTTTTAGTTGTCCTGCTAATTTCTTTCTATTTTTAGTAGAGACGAGTCTCGCTCTTGCTAAGGCTGTTCTTGAATTCCTGAGCTCAAATGATCCTCCCGCCTCGGCCTCACAGAGTGTTAGGATTACAGGCGTGAGCCACCATGTTCAGCCCATTCTTTCTAAAATAATAAAATTTGCTGAATTTAAAGTGTGACTATACTGATTTGGAAGGGATTATAGGTGGAAAAGTTTCTTAAGTAGCTGGGTTTATATGTTTATGTATTTTCCCCATCATTTAACAAAAATTCCAAAGCCTACTATGTGCTAATTATGGTAATATTAGGAACCAGAAGATAAATGTGACTCAATTTTTGCTGTCAAGGAGGAACTCCCAGTTCAATATGGGGAGGAACAAGAGGCAGATAAGATAAACAGATAACTGTTTGGTAGTACATGCTATTAAAGTAGTAATTAGACTGGAGACTGCTTAGGGGAAAGCTTCCCAGGGAGCTGATAATAAGCTGAGTTTTAAGTGATTAAGGGTAGCCAAGAGAGGATTAAGAAGTTGGCTCAAAGAGGAAGGAAAGAGTGTTCAAGCTGAGGGGTCATGGAAACATGGGGAAACTGCATATTAAATGCATATACCGTTTATTGAATGGTTACCCTGTGTTAAAACAGCCCTGTGAAAATTAGAATTATCTTCATTTTACAAATACGAGGTTCAGAGAGGACGGGTTTGTGGTGTAAGTATACATAACTAATCAGTGGAAATCAGGGTTTAAACTTAAGTCAGTCTGATTTCAAAGCCCCATAATTACCTTACTGTATTGCCTGTTGTCAGTGTTAAATTTTCCCTGGCCTTCCCTCAATCATTTTTCACCAATTTCTATTCATTCTTTCTTAGAAAGACTCATATCTGTATCTCACTAATCCACTACCTCTGTAGGTCCGGCATTCATTACGGTCTGGCATTCATTACGGTGTGCCTTAGTTGCTGAAATTACTTGCTGGCTAGCTTCTCTGATTCAAGGCTCTTCTTTTGT